GTTTCTGGATAACTAGCCAGCTGAGTCTCTCAGCAAGAGCTCTCGGATGAAGATAGGTTGAGGCTACAAAATGGTCAGATAGGTTGAGGCTACAACCTATCTTTCAGAGGGGAAGAAAGTGAAGTTTAATCTGTTTAATAATTATTTTATCCTTATATTTCCTTATATTTCTTATATTCTCATTTTGTTCCTTATATTTCTTATATCCTTACTTAATCACCTATTCTGCAAGTACTGCTAAGGTTACATGAAATGTTTGTATTCTTATGTTTGGTTAGCATAATATGCTAAAAGGGAGTAAATGTAATGGGAATTCCAAACATATTGCATGTAACCCTGGACTCAGGGATACTCATCTGTGATGTGGCACTGAATCTGTGTAAACGTAACATTCAAAATATCTCTGTGTTATCCAGACTTCAGGGACAACGTGTCTCTGTGGGATGATATGATTGACTCTAAAGCTGGATAAATAACAGGCTCACTGAGCTCTACACACTCATTCGAGCATACATGTACACACGTATGTGTGTTGCTGTGAGTCCTTCTGCAGAAGACTTGAATAAAACTCACAGAAAGACAAGTGTTTGCCTGAGCTGTTTATTTAAACACTCTCATTCCCACCACAGTTGCTAGAATGCTGGTGTGCAGTCTGGTAGCTAGCTGGAAGCCAGAAGGCTGCGGGCTAGCATACTGAAGACTAGGCTAGCAGGCCAAATGAAACCTGGGGGCTAGGTTTCCAGAATGGCATAAGCAATGAATCCACATGGTAGATATTCCAAATGACCCTGGGAAACACAAGGACATTTGCTGAATGTTCAACACAGCCAGCTCGACACAGGTGGAAACACAGACATCAGGACACAGGAAGCAAAGCAAGACAAGGACAACTTCAAAACAAAATAGGGTACACAAATCCTCCAAACCGTGACAGCCTGTCCCCCACCTATCGCTGTCCTCCAGTCCTGAAAATTTTCACTCTCATACCATCCTCTGAAAAGGTTGTCTAATTTTGTCAGATCCAGTGACAGCATCATTTTAATCAATTTAAACCTCATCACTCCAACTGAAAGCACCATTGCCCTTCACAGATCCTAAAATTTGACCGAGACACTCTAACAGGCTGTCGGCTTGACCGACTGCCCGAACACTCCCCCAGTCAGCTGTGTAATTTAATTACCACTATCGCCCATGCAGATGTAAAAAGACATCGCAGCTCTAATGAGACAATTAGTCTGTACCATCTTAAAGCTTCGCTCCTAATTAGCCCTGATGGCCACAGTACACGTTAATGCAGCCCCGCCCTAACACTCAGAGTGGAATCTCCCTGTCGCCAGCGGGTTTCTGTGGAGACTAATGGATTATTATACTAAGAGTGATGAGTGAGGTAAAAAGGCCTGAGTGACTTCTCCGTCCACAAAACATGGGGGAAAGAAAGGGAGGGAAACAGACATTAAGGCACAATAAGGTTCAACCAACATACTTGTGACTGGTGAAAGAAATACTGATATTTTTCAAATGAAGACAGCACCTGTTCAGTTGTAGGGAAGACATAATGAAACAATTTACTGCATTGATAAAAAGCAGGCCTACCATGTAAATGAAAACTACAATAATTTCAAATCCATTGATCATTTTAGGTGTTACTGGGGAAGATCATAATAGAAATGGGCACAAATTACATTTCATTCTGAAATATAATATGACCAATTTTAACATCTATACATATTTCAATGCGCTTATACACAAACACAATGTATCATAATCCTGTTGTTAAAGCATGTGCTATAATAACCCTCCTTAAAATATACATATGTACTTAGTTGTACATAAAGTATGCTATTTCCCCATTTCTCTGCGCTTTCTATTAAAAGCACCTGAGCTCAGCAGTGATACTCTCCCCTTGCATATTTTGGCCTTTGTTCAGCCTCTGACAGACAAACACATATGGGGTCACCTTTTTCTCCACAAAGCAGCCACAGAGATAATTACAAAACAAATGATAACTACTTCAAGAAACGTATGCTTTTATAATGCTCCATAGTTGATTTAAAATCTGATCCATTACAATTAGTTTGTTAGTCCTCATTGACCTCCCTGTTCACTATTTCACATATGATAAAATCAGGTTTCATCCTGGTGATGGAATCCCATAAATACACCTCCCCTATAAGCCTAGATAGCAACACATGATGTAAAGTTGTTTTGCATTACATAAAGATCATGCTTTTCATTCTTGGCTCTTGGGGGAGCCAGAAAAGACTTACCCTGCCAGGCCCTGTCTATGTGTGACCTACATTCTCAATTGTGAAATGCTAACAGGGCGGTGGGTCTATTGATAGCTGCAGTCTGGAAATGGTCAAGAGAATGATTAAGATAGATTAAACAGACAGTTCTATTTGCTGGTGCTTTGAGTGGGATTTCACTGAAGCCCTGCGGTGGGACTGGTGCTCTAACCAGAGTGTTTGACTCACAGTATTGAGCTGTGTCACATAATCTTAGTCTTGATCAATTTCTGCAACAATTTCTGCCATTTAAAAGTCTAAGAAAAAAAGACAATGTAGTTATGTAAACTGCCTGAACTGGCCCTGGTTAGAAGCACAAATCTGCAGTAACTTCACTAGATACTTTACATGCATATTAAAAGACATCATATTCATTTAAATGGAAATGCCATAACTAATGACTATTTTCATTGATTCATTTCTTGATTGATCGGTTTGGGATATTAAATGTCAGAAAATAGTTTGAGAGAACAGAGTCAAAGTGCTTTTTTTTGTTTGACCAGCTGTCCAAAAATAAAAGATATGGAGTTTATTGTCACATAAGGCAAAGAAAAGCAGCACATTCTCACAACTGAGAGAGTGGAATTGGCGAATGTTTGGCATTTTTGTAAAACAACAAACCACTGCTGTACAAACACACATCACACATCGAGAGAATGGATGGAGAAGAAGGCACAAAAACATTTGACTCTTAGAACACTTCAAGAGGAGCTTTCTCTTTTATGTTTGGTATATGTTAATGATTTCCTAATTTCTCACAATTATAAAACACATCAGCGCTTGTTGTATTTCACTGTAGGTCATGTGTATGTGGTGTGGTGTAGTAAGATTTTTGTGCTGAGAAAAAGTAAAAGCTGCAGTCACTATACTTATTTATACTTACTTATACCTGTTTTGTAGCTATACTGCAATGTGGTACATTTTTATTTTCACATCTAACCCTTCTATGGGGATCCTCTCCCTGTGCAATAGCTGAAATAGAAAGAGAGAAAAGGTTTTCTCTACAGCAATCCATAAAAAGCACCTTGATTCTAAGGAGCTCATCCTAAAACCTTAGGCACCAATTATTCTAAAGGTAAATGCATCAATGAAAATACTCATCTTTAATCTTTATCTGGACTGACGGCAGGTTGAGACCATTTTTATTTTCATTTATTAAATTTCTTCTATATACACAGTATGTTCTTGTTTTGATATTTTTAGCTTGTCATTCTTGATTTGGCTCCTACTGTCTAGTTGTATTTGTCTCATGTAAAGTCTAATCACATTTTCCAAAGGTTGCAGCATAACATCACCAAGTTACTGTACTTAATTTAAAAGTCAGTCCATATTTTTGCTGACTTGATGTTTATCACCTTACAGGCAGGACTGTGCAGGCAGAGTACATTAGCTACAGATGGATTATGTAGATTTAAGGTAAGCTACTTACTGCTGAGTAGATTATTAGACTGGTGCACATTCATTTTTATTTTCATTTGTCATCAGTCCAGAAGTCAAGGTGGGTGATTGTATTAGGTGGATGCAACCTGCCATCTTCTTTAACAGACTTTTATTGATGGCATGAATGAAACTGTTCACTGTATTAAAACTAAAACATGTTGCACAGCTCTTTTCCACTAACACCATGCTTTATACACCTCACTCAAAGTGAATAAAAAAGCAGGTTGTACTGGAGAAGAGTTGAGCAATTTGTTTTAACTTTGACTGACTTTCACTGAAGCATACACTGGCCTGCATAGCACTGTGTGTGTTCTTAAAGTTAGAAAATGATTTACACTGTTACCATGATGACATAGTTAATAATTATGTGCAATGACTATATATATATATATATATATATATATATATATATCCCTTTATATGTGTGATAAATGCAGTGCACAGTAAGTCACTGAGGTCCACAGTCACATTGTAATTACCTATGAGAATATTGTGGTTATATCAGACCAGTTCAAGATGAAAAATAGGATGATTATAAGGTCCCTATAAACTCAATACTATCACAGACACTCTAGACAGAAATGTAGAAATTCTAAATATTGGTGATACCCCAGGCATGGATGGTTACCACAAGGGGATCAGAGACAAAAGTGGGGATGTCCTGTCTCATCTGATATGTTTATCTCGTGTTTACATGCATTTGATAAAACAGTAACTATCAAAAGACCAACCCCAAAACAAACAAATAAAAAACCTATGATGGTATACTATTTGCTATAATCCACGAACAATTACCAGATTACCATACACTCATACCACTGCAGGGACTTTCATTGCAGAGGGATATTACAGTAATACTATCTGCATGAGATTAAGAAGAAAAAGGCTCACAGAAATACATTAGACTCCTATATGAATATTGGAACACTATAGTGTTTTTATGTTAGGATGTTATACAATGGGTGTTACATATTTTCAGACATTATAATAACAACATGTCACACAAGTTCAAAGCTTGACATTAAATGCCTCTCTGGGATGATGACAGACTGCTAGTGAGCTTGACTTGCAGCATATCAATAGCCTGTAGTGTTTTTTTTTTCCAAATGATGTCTGGGATGAATACAAAGATGTATCTTATACCACATACCAATAGAAAAATTGTTGGATTTCATCCGAGAAGCGTTTAAATGAACATTTTTTACATCGACATAAAAGGGGCTGTACCTCCTCGGGCGGCCAGCACTGTGACTGTAAGCAACCGACGTCACCACAAATAGCAAGCTAGCCAGTTTTGGGAGAAGAAGAAAAAGGCTACAAGCGGAAGAAATACCGGATTTGGTTTCGGCTAGTATTCGGTTTATGGTCCTGGTTTAGTTTTTTTTTTTTAAATCCATTTTGAATATGTCGACCCCGGCAAGGAGACGGCTTATGCGAGATTTTAAAAGGTAACGTTACCGCAACGTTTTGGCAGTCATCTCTTGTGTTTGTGTCGTTAGCAGCAGCGTTAACCGATGTCGGTAGCTAACGTTAGCTTTGCTTAGCGTTAGCTACTGGTGCAGATAATACTGTATATCAAGCTTGACTGGAGATATTGTGATGTACACGTTAATTTTATGGTTTGTCTCTGCACATGAAACCTGTGGGATTGAAAAATAAACGATTGGATATTTTCAATTCCATTTGACGATATCCAAAGACAGCACTTTGCTTGCATGCAGTGTTTTCTACCCAGGGAATAACGTTAGTCTTTCAGTTTGTCCTGGTTAGTGAGTTTGTTGAAGTAACGTTAGGTGTAGCTGAGGTTACCTGAGGTGGGCTGGACAAAATACTTGTGTGCGATTCAACAAGCCCTTTGTCTTGCCTGAAATGGCCATTTTTGAAGCTAAGTGACAGGATTTATCCTGTTTACTCCGCGCATATTCAAGCTGTGGGCTTAAATTGCTGCTAAAAAGCAAATTTTAACGAGCCAGCCAACATTACAATTTCACTGTTTCAATCCTCCCCCTGGCAGCAGCGAGGCTCACTGGTGTTGCTCCATCTCAATATATAGGACGGCCTGATCCTGCCATGCACATCTGCTTGATGCTTAAAAAATCAGTATTAGTGGATTTAAACAATCCTAAAACCCGTCATGTCTTAATGATTATATTATCAAACTTGTTGCTGTGAAGACGAACATGTTTGTGCGTCCTGGGAGAATCACACCTGGCAAGGGGCAGCTTGTAATACCTGCAATCCTCAGTCTGTTGCCTTGCTCCATATGGCATTCTACATTGTGTTTGTGTGTCATTCACACACACACATGCCTGTCAGTGGAAAAATAAGATCGTAAGCTATTCTTCTAAGAAAAGCCGATGAAGCAGGGCAGATAAGGTGTCACTGTAACTCTACTCTGCTGTGCCAGTCCCCAGGTGGTAAACTGTAACAGACCGAGGCAAGGAAAGCACAATGGCACATTCCTGGATCAGCCTGTGTGTCCGTGGCTGGCTGATTGAACTCAGCTATTGTGATATTGCCTAACCTCCCCTTGTTTGATCTGTAAATCAAAAATAATTTGCACAGTATGGGTCCTGTTGTTGAGATATGTGTTTGGTAAGCAACACTTCGGTGTGATTGGCTCAGTACCTTGGATATGAAATGTGCTGCTTAAATAAGCAATTTGGCTTTTTTTTTTTTTTTTTTTTAATGAACGTTCAGAAACCACCTGAATTTCTTCAGATTATATTCAGTAAAGTTTCACTTTCGTTTCTTCTCCAAATGTATTTTTAGAAGCAGTTGACATTGTGAAGCCAACAACAACATCATTGTACACTTTTTGTTTCTTTTAGATTTTTTTCAGCGCTATTGCTCCTCTGCAAAATTTAGGAGGATTCATCTTTTTAATAGCTTACAGCAGTTTGTAAAATAATCTGGTTTGGGTTGATAATGAGAAACTGGAGAAACCTTTGATAAAAGATAGTAAATGCTTAAAGCTATTTGAGCACTGTTACTTGGTGGCAGTTTCCAAGTAAAATAAAGCAACTATCAGTCCTAGTAGGGAAGTTGAGTGGAGCAGATTACAGTAAATGAGGTTAATTGCAGTGGGTCCGTCTGCAGCTAGGGACTTGGACATGCATCTACACTCACAGACACACAAATGTAAGTGTAAGCTCTTATTAAACCAGCTTTTGCATGAGGCAAGTAGTCTGTGATGATTCTGGACTTGGCCTACATGCATTGGTGATCTGAAGCAAGACATTTAATGTGACACAGTACTGTACCTTGAGTTTCAGGGCAATTGCATCCCTTGTAAGTAAAGCCCAAACTCCCAGAAACCTGTTTTATAGCCCGCACTGAAACCAGAGGCTGTTGTCAGAAACTTAATTTGAAATGTTGACCTGCGACATCTGCATGTTTTGATTTGTTGACATCTTTGTTGTTATGAAGTTGTTGATGTGGGTTTTTTGTATTGCACTTCACAGAGGGATCACTTGTCATTCAAACAGCTCTGGGGAATTTTGTATGTGGAGCTGGAGCTAATGGTTATTTTCATGAATGATTAATAGATCTGTGATTTTAGTTTGGGCTTGTAAAATGTCAAAGTCACGTAAATTCTCCGTCTTTTTTGAAAATAGAAAACCAAAGGTAAACTTTTTATAATCATTTGAAACTGTAGTGAATATTTAACTTTTAACTTTAAAAATCTTTTGATCAACAATACTGTTTTTATCATGGAAAAAGGCCAAACATTTGCAGGGCTTTGGACTGTTGGTCATGCTAAACAAGTAATTTGAAGACTTTCTGACTGACACTTTTTCTTAAATGTAATTGACTACATGATTAACTGATTAAATTGGGGGGAAAAGTGTAGATTAATCAATCATGAAAGAAATTATCGTAAGTTGCAGCCCTGCTTTTAAGCATGAAATTGTAACATTAGTGAAACCAACAACAGGTTAGCATTTTTTCCCTGCTAAGTGACGTAAACAATCAATTAACACAATTGACTGTCCTTTACTGCTCCTGCTAACCACCCCGTTCTGCAATGTACTTTCTCTGCACCAGTTTTTCCTGGAAAAAGAACCGTGTCTGTGTGTGAGTGACCAGAGCTTTCATGAAATGGGTTTCAGCACGGTCTTCAGTGGTTCATATAGATCAGCGATGGAGGGCAACAAAACAGTCGTGTATTGATAGAAAAACATCCGGGTGCCTCCCTTTCTTTCAGTATTTGTCTGTAGTTTATCCAGATAGCTTGAACAACATTATTCAGAAGTTATTTCAGGTGAAGATCGACTGATGCTGTTACAGCCATGGTGCAGTAGTGCTTCACATGAGTGTTAATGGTATAGCTTATGTTAACTGACATGTGACAGCAGGATGGGCAGTATGCGCAGTTGATCCTGCAAGCCTGGCTGTCTGCTGAAGTCATGTTGATACACCAGTTCGTGTTTTGACTGATAATTATCCTGCAGGCAAGGTGTTAATTAAAATCCTCACGCTCTCTGCCATCTTTCTTTCTCTCCCTCCCAATTCTTTATCATGTGTATTTTTAATTCTTTTTCCATCCCCATTTAACCCCATCTTTCATCTTTTAATGTCCCTTTATCTCTTTGCTTTTTTTTTTGCCTCCCCCTTCTCTTTTGTTTCAATCTCATTTTTCCTTGTCTCCCTTTTTTCTTTTGTCTCTTTCTTCCTGCTTCCTTTTTCTTGTCTTTCCATCCATGTCTCCTCCTGTCTTTCTCTTACCCCGTCTCCTTCTCTCTGTCCGTCTCCCTGCCTGTCTCTCTGTCTGTTTTTCCTCGTGTCTCTTTCTCTCTGCCTAACTAGACTTCAAGAAGATCCTCCCACTGGTGTGAGTGGTGCACCGTCAGAGAACAACATCATGCTTTGGAACGCTGTTATTTTTGGGTGAGTCATGTTCTAAATCCAACTCCGCCCTGCTGTCTTAACTGTGCTACTGAGATTGTGATGCACAGATTTCCCCCAACCCACCCACCGCTTTGCATTCTCGTTCTCCTGCTTTTTCAATAAAATATTTGTGATTACAGCCCTGATTGTGGCACACAACAGTCTGGAAAATGTGCATGTAGAGGCTCAGCAGGTGTTTGCTGTTAAAATAGGTTGGGAGACATTGTTGGTGCTGGAGTTGATGGGTCAAGGAAGAAAGGAAAGAATTTTTATAAAGACCAAATCACAGTGACTTTTTTCATATGTCTGTTGGTATACAATTTGAAGTGCAGTTGAAAGGAGAACTACAGAAGAACATGCTTTTTATTAAAACTCTTTTCAGTTAAAAAAAAAAAAAGAGAGATGAGCATAGCATACTAGTAGTATGGAAGTCAAAGCGCAAAATATTAAAACATCAAATAACAAATAATCCTAGAAAGGAGCAACAAAGAAACCCAGAGTGACACACTTGGGTTTAAAATAGAAATATCTAACAGTTCCTCACCTAATTCAAAGTCAAAGGAGAAGCTGCCAGAAATGTAAAACACGTAGGCAGTAATTTGCCCCCCGTACAGAGACACTGTGGATATGAAGAGCTGAGTAAATAAAGAGTCTTGCGTCTGTGTAGAGCAAGTCCTTGAAGGATAGATGGTAATAGTTATGCCATATTTGTAACACAGGGGATGTTTGGAATTTGGAAATAATTGCATTGCTGTGTCTCTCTCTGCCTTCTGCAGGCCTGTGGGAACACCGTTTGAAGATGGTAAGTTCTCCATTTTGATTGTCCATAAAGCCCCCCCAATAGAGAGAAAATGATTACGGAATGTCTGAAAAAGGTTTTAAAGACCTAGAAGTTTTGTCCCCTTTGTAATAACAAGGTGACTTGTGCGTAATTACCTTACAGAAGATCGTTGCCTTGTATGTACATAGCCCCCAAATTGTTTTAACAGTGCAGTGGGTCAGTGATACAGTAAAATAATCTTCCAGGAGTGTGGGCCGACATGTATGTGATTGGCTATCATAGCGCCTTGCTGGATGACGTCGCGTTGCGGCAAAAGTTGAGCCTGGTTCAACTTTGCTGCCCCTGCGTTGGCACCCCTGCTGCATCAACAGACTGGCTCCATTCAAATGAAGAGGGCTGCATTTATTTTACACAGGGCTACTGTCATTGTGAACACGCCAGTACACCAAACTCTTTGTACTCTTAGTATGGTTTTTAATTACAATATGCTCAGATTTAACTTGAACAACAGGAATGTATATCACAATAACATGATTACATCATCACAAAGTTGATCAGTTATACATGTACAATTTTCACCTAATCTCAAATTTAAAATGCAAGTCTGATCACTGATTTGTGTCATTGACAATTGAATGAGCTACTACAAAAGGTTTTCACTCTTCAAAAACATAACACTAGTAAACAGATTTAGATTCGGTGGTATTTAGCTGAACTATGTATGGGGGAAAGGCAAATGGACAGTGCCAGCTGTTGTAATATTTCATTTTTAAATATATTTACATTTATTAGATGTGTTCAGTTGCTAGCAAACTTTCAGTTCTGCTGTATGTAATACATATTGTGCAAGAGACACACACTTATGCACACATACACACTTTTTTTGTTCTCATACACTTTCTATGCTTGTAATTATGAGGTCAGGCAGGAGAAGTGCTGAGTCAGGGCATATTGTTTTTTCCTGTTAGTTATCTCCCTCCTTCATTCTCCTTTTAGCCTGCAGAGTCGACATCTCTGCCTCAGTGAAGGATTAGCTTCTCTTTCTAGTCGTACCGGCTATATATTTTTAGTAACGTAATTGTTTCTCTCGCTTTCTCTGACCCCCCCCCCCTTGCCCTTCACATATGTATTCTCCTCACAAAATGACTTGTGTGCGCCCCCACCCCACTCTTCCTCCGTCTCTCTGCAGGAACATTTAAGCTGCTGATAGAGTTTTCAGAGGAGTACCCAAACAAGCCTCCCACAGTTCGGTTTGTCTCCAGAATGTTTCACCCAAATGGTAAGCAGTACAGCTGCCCTCAGACACTCAACCATATTCATTGATTCAGACCGTGTTTTGAAAATAGAAATGCATGTCTGCTCTCTCTTTATTCATAACCATAGTTTAGTTTTACTTTTATTTGGGTATCAAGTACAAAATGTTTGGATTTTAGATGAAGCCCATTTTGCACAGTTTGTGCCTCCATTATCCCAGCAAGTTCTCCTTTCCTCCTCATTCAGGCAGCTTCCTTCCTTTCATCTCCTTTCCGAGTCCATAAGTCAAATTACTGTAGTAGGTTAAATCAGTGAGGCTGGCGATAACTATAAGAAGTAGAGTACAAGTTCTTTGGGCTGCATGTTTTATTGTTTCATTTTGTGTGTTGTATTTGCTGATTCCACCAGATCATAAGCTCCTGGGGACTTGCAGTGTTTTTTCCCACAGTGCTGTAGTCAACTGCAATGTGAGAACACGGCATATTCGTGTATCATTTGGAGTATACTGCTAGCTTAACTGTCTCCTAAAAAGCATTTGTTGTACATTCAGTCTTTACTAAATGTAGAGAAATGTATGTTGGTGATACTGCCACTGAGACGTACGTGTTGTTGTGATGTTGCCCTTCGTGCTCTGAAGCTTGAATGTGTTCTCTCTCTGTTTAACAGTTTACGCAGACGGCAGTATATGTTTAGACATCCTTCAGAACCGCTGGAGCCCCACATACGATGTGTCGTCCATACTCACCTCCATCCAGGTTGGTTGCTTTGACTGCCTTTACACTAAGAACACTGAGTCCATCACAGTCTTTATTTATTTTTTGTTTAATTTTGTAACGTTTTACTTGCACTTGCTTCAGTTCATGTCATCATTGACCTGATCGAAATATTTTGGATATATTTTCTCTTATTTGAAAGTTTTCTGTTCCCAAGGGAGGGAAAAACATGAAATAATATTCCTCAATAGCATATGCATAAATCCATGTGACCTACATTTTACTGTATATACATTGTATTGTATAGAGCAGTGGTTCTTAACCTTGGGGTCACGATCCCATCTGGATATTTTCATCACTTTTCTCCCATTTTCTGCAGTCGTTGCTGGATGAGCCAAATCCCAACAGCCCGGCTAACAGTCAGGCTGCACAGCTCTATCAGGAAAACAAGAGGGAGTACGAGAAGAGGGTGACGGCCATTGTGGAGCAGAGCTGGGTGGATGTCTGAGCTTGCCTAGCTCTTCATCCCTTCCTTTCCATCACTCTCTCTTCATCATCCCAGTACTCCAGTCTTTCATTTTTACCTCATCAAGAAAAGAAAAAAACAGCAACTATATATCAGAAGAACTCAAGTGCCACCCTGAAAAAAAAAGAAGAATAAAAAAGGATCCTGAGAACAACCAAACCAGAATGGACATTAACTTGCTTGCCAATACATTGGAGGAAAACGAGGGAGGGGAAATCAATCTTATTTGTGTTTCTTGTCCTTAATTTTACTTTTTTCATTGCATGATGTGAAATAAGTTATTGCTAACAGAATTTGTAATATATCTTTGTTGTTTGGTTGGATTGATGCTGTTAGTGTTTGAGTTTTACAGATTTGTTTTCCTTCTTTTTGAATTTTTCCTTTTTCTTTTCTTTTTTTGTAATGTCTTCTGGCGTGCACACAACTTGGCTGTTTGGAAAGTGCAGGTTCATGACCGTAACCGTCATTGTTTTAAAAGTTGAGTCGGTATTGTCATTATTCTTCACAAGTCAGCCACAGATGCAGCTGAGACAGAATAATCCCTGATCTGTGCCAGCGTTTCTCTTATTTTAAGAGACACTGTAGGTTTGGGCTCACAGACGTCACAGGCTGCAACAGCGCCAAGTCTCCCTTACACTGATGAATCAGGGCTCCCTGGCTAGGCAGCTCTGAGCTTTTTTATTTTAATCTTTTCTGCTCCAAGGTAGAGGATGATATTGGAGCGAGGGTGATATGAGAAAGTAAATATTAACACCAGGAATGAGACAGGATAAACTTGGACTGTGGGTCTCAAAGTAGAGTACAGGGTAAGTTGAAAAGGATGTGAGAATCCCAGCTGAAGCAAGGAAATGAATTCATTTCAATCAGCATTAATTGTCCTTAAGTGAGTCAGTCTTCTCACTTATCCTTTGTCCCAGTGTCCTTCTTTAAGTGTTGTCACAATGTATGTAGAGCATAGGAATTCAACAGTGCTTGTACTAACACATTTTCTTGAATGGTGGTGCTATATCATTTTCATTAATGGCTAACAGGAATTGAGCGGTAGCAAGTGAAAGTAGTAGATAAATGCAGAGCTGTGTTTTAAAAGTTGAACTGTTCTCCGCTCCCCCTCCTGACAGCTCATCTTGGGCTCGCGCCCATGTTTTTTTTTTCTCCCCTCCTAATTTCTCCCGCCACAGAACGTAAATCACTTTCAAATGCTTTGTTGCCTGTGACGCGTGTCAGCATGAATTGTCAGCGCTTTTGATCCTTCTCTTAAAATGAAACCACGACACACAAATTAACAAATAAACAGAGGATAAAAGAAGCGCTGTCCAGTGTTTAGCTCTAAATGAGAGCGGTTAAGAGGATTGACGGAGCAAACTGCTGTTTCAACAGTGTGACACCAACTGTTTTTCCAAAGGCTTAAGTTGTATATATGCCTGTTTTTGTGATACCCAATTAAAAGACCACTTGAGTATAAATTTATCACTTAACTCTGCATAACTCCAGCTAAATAATCCATGGAAAATGATCATAAAACAGAGCTCCTCTTTTCCGAGACATTAAAAGTCATATCGTGGCTAGTGACTTGTCACCTAAAAAGCAGAAGGGATATCTTAACATTTTGTGAATTAAACAAAACAATGTATACTTATAACAATATGCTGTATAAACATAATAAAACACATTTTTCAGACTTTGACAAAGTTTTTTGCTTTTGGTTTGTTCTTGCTGTGTTTAGAAGTGATGTTGTAACAATGGTGAGACTAAGAAAATGAGTAATTAAGAAGCAAGACTTCAGCTTGTCAAGAGTTGGTCAGACCTACATGTGACTTATTGTTAAAACCCTTAATCTCTTTATTATGTACCTCTTTTGAAGCCAATATCCTAGCCCCATCCACACAGTATTTTTATTACAGCTCCTTTAAATTTGTATGGCAGAAATGTTATGCCCTAAATTGTTTACTTACAACCCCCCCAACAGTACAGAATTACTATGATCTGTCTTTGCCTTCAACCTTAAGACTGATGTAAACAAAGAATAGAAAATACAAGTCCTTTATTAGGCAGAGACATATGGACAAGATCCAGTGTCATCTTTCATCTGTATTTATTAAAAAAACCTACTAAAAACATAGTACACTCGTAAAAAACTAAAACAGTGGTGTTAAAATAGATGAGCGGTTAAGCTTCCACACAGACAAAAGCATCTTCGCTGTTGCCATACAATAAAATGCGAGTTGACACAGTATTTCTGTTTTTGATTTAAAATAAAGATTTGATGTTTACACTTTCATCACATCCATAATAAACAGTGTAGGATTGTAAAACCATGTGAAATGTGGTCTGACTCTTTACAAGCACAGCCTGTATGTACACAACAGCCGAGTCCCATCAGTCTTGATCCGACAACCAGAAGGGATGAAACAACTGAGCCGGTCATCGACCCTGTGATGGAAAATAAAGGAAATACATGAAGAAATCTTCTCTGTCAACAGATCTGTGTGTGTGTGTTTGTGTCCACAGATGTACCTGTTGCTTCTTAATAATCTCATCTCTTGTCTTGAAAACTGGTGCATCCTCCACCACGATGCCTTCGGCCATTTCCTTCACTTTCTCCAGGAGCTCTGTGCCATACCTGCCATTAGTGAAAAAGACATGTTCTATCAATATATTGAGCTGCAATTATTCAGTATCTATAATTAATCTGTGGTTCATCATGTACTGAAAAAACACAACAGAATACAAATATTGCTTTAAATGCTTAAAGATTAATGAATAGATTAGAATTTTGATAATAAAACATTTTAGAGCTGAAACGATTAACTGATTCATTGACAGGAAATTAATCTGAGACTATTGTGATGACTGACTGTCATATCTCAAGCACACATTCCAAACATTTCCAACATCCAGTTTCTCAATTGAGAGGATGGGCTGATTTCCTTTGTCTTAAGTAATAGTAAATAAAAAAAAAGATTTTGGACTGCTGGTCAGATGAAGCAAGCAACCTGAAGACAACACCTTGCACTTAAGGAATTTTGATGGACAATGCTTACTCCCCTTTCTGACATTTAATTGGCCAAACTATTCCAAACTATTATTTCTAAAAACATTTGTACTTTGGTGTTTTTAGAGTACTGATAAAGCTACGTACAAAACTTTAAATCTAGATTTAGGACTGGCCAAAGGCAATTGGCCACATATCATATAAGGATGCTAAAAGGGGCTGTTATTAGCTCATCATCAGCTGTTTGATTTGAGGGAAAACAAGTACAGTCAATTTGTTTACCATTTTACGAACAGGGGGGGCAGCACTGAGCCCATTCTGAGTTTACAATGAGACGAAGAAGATTCTGCAGCTGAAAACATTCATGGACAAACCACACAAAGGCGAGTATTGTGACTTATCAGAAGTAATGTCAAACACTACGCCAAACTGTTGCATGACGTATGAGGAGTAATTGATGCGTTTGGCAAATATGTAACGTTAAGATTTACCGTTTGAAGTCGAGCCTAATCTCTGCAACAGTATTGGTAAATAAACATCCTGGACTGAGGGAGTTTTACCGGCTGTGGAGCGGTTTGTATCTCACAAAGACCTGTTCGTCCGATAAGGGAGCATTTATACCAACCTGCGACGGTCATGAAGACACGTTGTGTTTACGTACCGACAGCCGAGGAAGACGTTGTTGGCCCAGACCATGGAGAGGGAGAGCAGGTGGTCCAGCTGCTCGAGTTGGAAGTCGTTTATGTTCCGCAGGATGAACTCCCTCCTGCCCTGCCAGTGTTTCTCACTCTCCCAATAACCTCGATACGTTTCTACCTGGTCGGCCAGAGCTCTGTTTTGTTGAATAAAATCATCCACGTCCATAGTAGACATCTTGCTTTTCTCCGGCCGAGTCAAGGAAGTCAACTTCGTGTCTGCGAAGCAGGTCTCGGAAGTTGGTTTTCAGATTAGCGTGCTCCAAACAGCGCCACGCAGCGGTGGAACCGAGAGCTACTGACCTGAAATACCGTCTGCAGAGGGTCTTACCGGTTATTGGGTTTACTCAGTTGGATTAAAATAGTTAAAGGTGCAACATGTTATTTAATCATATTGATACAGTAATATAAAAATATATATAAAACATAACAGACCATTGGAATTAATTACAAAGTGGTGCTGAAGAGGCAAAAACTTCTTCCATCTATCCATCCATTGTCAACCGTGTATCCTGCGTACAGGGTTGCGGGGGGCTGGAGCCAATCCCAGCTTACATTGGGCGAAAGGCGGGGTACACCCTGGACAGGTCCCCAGTCCATCGCAGGGCAAAATATAATTATATTTTTGTATAATGTCAAAATGAACAAAAGAATGAAAACTTGAATGACAAAAAAGTAAAGGTAATGTTGACATGGTAGTGTCATGGCTGAATAGTAGACATTTTTCACAGCAGACATTTTGACTTGTCATAGCAGGAAAAACACGGGTGGAATTAATACTTTTATCGAAGCCTCAGTTCGTGTCCCAGTAAGACAGATAGTGAGCGAGCGTGCACAATTGCTGGACCCAAGAACTGGCTCACAGAAATGAAATACAGCCATCATTAATGTTATTAAAAACACCCGTGCTTTCCTTACTGTGTCTATCACCTACCTAAAAAGGCCTATTTCAATGTTGTAGTCTGTTGAAAATAAAGTAGTAGCCCTTCACTGCCTTTAATGCTGCCACTGAGCAACACAGGCTAACTGGAAACTGCAGGGGACTCCTGTTTCCCCCTCCAGCTTGATCTTTTTGTGTTTCCAACTTTGCCAGAAGATATAAAATTCACAGAGCAGGTAGTGTGGTGGGGAAATGTCTGTGGCGCACACACACACAGACTTACTTTAATTTTTCTGCCTTCTTCTCACTGGAGCGACATATCTCTCTCTGCACTTGACCAGCCTGCCAGGAATATGAGAATATGATCATAGAGGGACACTGGACCTTTAACCTCCAGTCTATGTAAAGAGGCTTATGGACAGTCATTCAGGCTCGCAGATATGCACAAATCCACTTACAAACACTCACAGTTTACTTTCATTCTCTCGCACAAACCCCTGCAAGATTTCCCTTTGCCTTTAACTCTCTCACACACACACACACACACACACACACACACACACACACACACAGCAGAGTGTGGGATTTGGGGCTTGTTTTGACATGAAGACATTGATATGCAGAGGGATTCCAGAGGAAGGCAAGCCAACATGAAGTCAGACAGACATACTAGCTCACTGCTCTGTCGCTAGTTACTGTTTCCACGGTAGAGTAAATGTATTTCTCTGTAAATGTATTGAGTCCATCATTATATCAGGAGTAGGAAGAATAGAATAAAGGGCTTGCCCTCTGTGATTGGCTCTGAACTCAAACAAAACTGACAATCTTGTATAGAGAAAGAATTAAATATTAATAAAAACTACCAAGTGCCATTACCTGTTAGTTTTTGAATCTGCATGGGAAATAAATAATCAAGAGGAGACAGTCAATTTAAGAATTATTTATATGTTCAACTGGCAGAATGGCAACTTAAATGACAACAAAGAGAATTTTCCACACGCACTTGATTGAGAAGATGATCATAAATAAAAATGTCAAAAAGTGAAAATGGTTTTTCATTGTTATCTGTTTTTAAAAGGCTGTATAGAATCAGAATTTCCCAGTCAGAAATATCAACTAGACCTCCCCCTTAAGTCGCCGAAGCTGTAGTAATACTGTTAATCACAATTCTGTCTTATTTGTGTCTCATTAAATCAGCGTACATATATTAGCTACTGTCCAACTTCTATCTTATATACAGGGTTTGTGTTGTTATTAACTGATAGTGCTAGCAATGGCTAGAGGAGTCCATCTTTTTTTTTTTTCGACTTAAATCTGTTGGTTTACTGGAACACAGTAAACTTGGGTGTGACGTCATTCCCAGCTCTGACTTCCGACGTCCAACGTAAAAGGGAACACAGCATAGGAAACGTATAAAATGAATAATGTTAACACATTTTTTTAAAAGAAAGAAAAGCAAGGCCTGAATACGATGCTTCTTTTTATAAAATCTGAGAATTTTGTTGGAACAATTATCAAACATGCACGAGATGAGAGAATGTCTGTGAGGCTCAGTGATGATTGAGAAAAATGATGAGAGCTGATGAAAGGACAGCCCACCTTCAGGAGCTAAACACTGGATACTTCCTCCGGATACCAAACTCCAGGCTGCTCTTGTGAAGTTGTTTCACTAGTGAGCTCCAGGTTTAAATTATGTTTGTATTTGACAAAAGGCATTTTATGAGGAATCAGTCTGGCTATAATCATGCATGTTTCTCTCTGTGGGCCTTATTTTATAATAACTAAGTTGTAAAATGCTGTGTTTTTTTTTACATTTTCCATCTCTGCCTTTTAAACGTCTTACAGATGTTTCAGCTTCATTCTGTTTTCCATGGAGCTCTGAACATTGTAATTCCATTTCCACTCAGTGTCAGTTTACTATAAGTGGTTACAAAACTTCATCCCAACAGGCCGTACTCTCCTGATTCTCTGAATCAACACACCACAGAGAAGAGAGACATGAAGAAACTCAGTTAACACAGGAACATGATGCTGCCTGAGTCTTCCCTCTGCACAAACCCTGCGTACCTAACAACACAATATTTCTCTTAGACATAAACACACATTAGGTGCAAATATATGCATATATGTACACAAATGAACACACATTAATGTCTTAACTTGGATCCCCTAATCTAAACACTAAATGCCAGCTCTAAACCAGTCTCTGTAAGGTAAGTGTGCCCCCTAAAAAGTTCTCTCCTCAGACATTTCTCTCCTCCCTCTGGAGTCAGCCCTAGAAAGACAAGAAAGCTCACAAGTAAGCGCACATAAAAAAATAAAAAAATCACCTCCATTCAAATTGCCCCAGAAAAACCACTAGTGGCACTCCTGTGTGTGTTATATTTTGGGATGCTTCCAAGTCATACAAGTCGCTGCTTTATTGAGTGAACAAACCCATTAAGTTTATGACCTTGCTCTCCCTCTCTCACTCTGCCTGAAATATACACTGATGCTGAAATAATACACTGCATTCCCAGCCAGCTCTGGCAGACAGCCGTTCTTGATGAGTCACCAAATGTATGCTTACTCAGGAGAAAACTATAATTGGGAAACTCAGAGACAACAGGTAGCCCTTTCAGCTGGAGTCCTGGGGGAGTGCCAATGAGAAAGGATTAACTCACTCTGTAAAGTGTCTGTGCATATCAAGGTTACTGCAAGAAGAATGGGACGGGCATGAAAGGAGGTTTTTAGATATCATTATAAATCTGTTTTTTTTCGCCTATGAAAGCTGACTCAGACTGGACAGTTAACTATGAGGAGGCAATTACATGTTTACACAGTTTCATGCATTAACTCCCATTTACTCAGTTTTCTAGCAGTGGGTACAAATTAAAAGTCAGTCTTATTTGCAGATTTTTCCTCTGCGCACATTTAAAAGGTTAAAAGGTAAAACACTATATGCGAGTTATACTATTGTCTATATGGGGCTATTTCAGCATAGTAGGCTACTGCCACAAGTAATCTTTTAGCAGGAAAATAAATAGGAAAAGGAATTAGTCTTGAAGGTACTTAATATCGTTGCCTGTCCAGTCCATTTACATTCTTAAATTAAAATTCTTTCATGTTTGTCTCAAAGGTGTAGTGGTTTGGTTATATTGGGTTGAAACTGATTTCTACGTTTTCTCTGGGCCTACATTGTGGTTTGCTAAAGTGACATTGTTTCCTTGATGGCGCACACAAAGTATAAAATAAAGATGCACACGAACGTGCCTGAACGGTACCTGTGTACATTTGCTTATCTGCAGCACAGAGAAGCACAAATAAATCCATAGTGATGCTGCCTAACCATGAAACATTTTAAATACCTAACCACAATTTGTAATGGTTTGGGAATGCAGAAAATGCCTGTATGTGTTGTAAAAACATTGTATTTTATTCTTTAATTTGTAAAGGACTTGTTGGCTTAGATGTCTGTGGGGTCAATTTGCAGCCCCCACAAAAGTTAAGAAATACACCTTTAAACTTTTCCAAAAATAGCCGTGTTGTTACTATAACAAATTATAAATAAACACATTATACGCCATACTTCCTGTTCGGTACTTTCTGTTCTTCCTGTTTATGTTATTTCCTGTTTGCACCCACACCCATGGTAGATGAATACAAATATTTTCCATATTTTAAAACAAGCTTCTTCTTGATCACGCTGAATTTAAATGAGCTGAGCAGGGCCCCAACCTTATCTCGAAACTGCAAATACACTCACAAGAGGACCATATGTACAAGAACGTATGATTGTCGAAGTTAAAAGACACAGTGTGTTTTTAATAAGTTTTTCCTTACTCTTCCTCCTTCTGTGAATGTTGGTTCTGTGTTGATCTATGCAGAATTTTAATCTGTACGTCTTGTTAAATAAAGGTGAAAACACTCAAATCTGTGTATCTTAATTTTACACACAAGCTGTCTAAACCATTTCTGCTGTTTCAGATGGCTAAGCATTGTTAAATTGCTCAGTAGGAACATAAACCTTTGGCATGTAGAAAGTAAAGCAGGAAATCTAGCTCATTAGCCACCCAAGGACTAAGTCTCATAAAATAAATAGTACTTGTAAAATATATAAATAAAAGATCTGATTTCATATTTTACCAAAGCGGGAAAAGCATCTCTGAAACTTGTTGGAAAATGCAGTGTAGTTTGGAGCAGGACTTTGACAATCAGGCCACGCTTGACATTGCATCGACTTTAGCTAACCAATAGAGGAGGGGTGCTTAAAAAATTTAGGCTTGGGACCAAAGTGATAAATGTAGTCTGTCACCCTGGGACACAGACTAATTAAAACTAGTGCTCTTCACATGTAGGGATGCTGGAGCAGCAGGGCCTGCCAGCTATCTCAGGTCCTGACCCATTGTTCAAAAAATTAGGATATAAACCCATCTATTGGCCTAATTGCAGTTGACATGGATACTGGGGCCACGATACAGTGCATCCATCTTCTCACTCAGTTGTATCCCTTAGTGTACCCACTCTACTGTAACACCACCAAGCTCTATAGATGAATCTTGTCATCTCTGTTTTCACATATTTCCTGAAATGTGTGGTTAGGAAAATCAAATGCAACCGATGTCATGGAAAAATAGAGTAATGTTGGCTGATGCTGTGCATGTGTTTATGTGTGTGTGTGTGTCGTTGTTGTGGTAAGTGTGTTGGTGGGAGAGTGATTGATATCACCAGTAAGTTACACTGACATATTTTGTTAAAGACAAAATGCCCCCTGAGAAGAAGGAGGAGAAAAAGATGAAAACATTTGAAACTAATTAACTCGACTGGAATACTCAAAACCAAATGGACTCCAAAGGCCAAAGGTGATGAAGGGAATTAAACTTGAGGAGAATCACAAATTGTGTGTTTTTTCCATTTTGTGCTTTTTGACACAGCTATGCTAAGGCCACGGTCTTATCAAATATAAACAGCACACGTGCTTGGAAAAGTCATGCTACTGTGGTGGTATTTTCTGTTCTACCATGGGACATGGCACAGGCACTGTCATCCATATTCAGTAAAAAAATGTTGTGGTATTGGTCATTGTATAAATGGAAATGGTACATGGTTTAGGGTCCTGGCATTGAGCAGGCTGGCTCACTGCAGTGGTGGAAGAAGTATTCAAATCTCTATTACAATGTAAAAATACTCGTTATACGTGACAGTCCTGCATTCAAAATCTTCCTTATGTAATAGCGGATGAGTAGTGCCACCAAAATGTACTAATATCTAAAATAAAAATACCTGTTATGCAGCAGAATGACCACTCTATGTCATATATTATGTTATTTCAACATTGTTACTGACGCACTAATGTATAAGCATCTGTATCATGCAGTGTATGGTGGAGGTGAAGTTACTATTTCTTTATGTAAAAGATTTTCAGCAAACACTAGCATCATGTTTTATAAACACCTTTTTTTTCTTTTCTTTTCTTTTTTTCTTTTTTTACAAGTAAACACTTTATCTAAAAAGTAACCAGTAAATGTAGGTATCACATAAATTTGGTGCAAATGGTTCAATATTTGTTTCTGAAATTTAATTAAGGAAAAGCAGAAAATTACAAAAAATAAAATAAAATAATTAATACTTGGGTAAAGTATAAGTAACTCAAAAACCTCAAGTAAATTTAGTGAATTACTTTCCACAACTGGCTCACTGGCACATGGTCATGGCTAACTAGGACACTTAAATATAACAGAACCATTGATAATAACAAGTCAAAATGCAAAATGTCTGTATAATAATGTAATGTACAGTCATGATTTCTTGGATGCACCTTACTTTGGCTTTCTTTTAAGCTTTTGTTGCCAAAGAGGACCATGAATCATACTACTAAATTGGTAACACCCTGGCTTTCTTTGGTTTGAATCAATTGTATCTCAAGGTAAGAGTTGCTGATACACTCTCTGGTCACTTTATTAGCTACACCTATAAAATATTATGCAATCCAGCACAACAGCTCTACCACACATTCTACCACCCCCCCACCTTCCAATACAATGAGGTCCAGTTCAACAGCACTGCAAACTATAATCATAATAATAAACATGGGTCGATAGTTAAATTAATAGCTCTTTGACCTTATCAATCAAAACTGGACATTATTGTCTTTGTAAATGTAGAATTTATAGCTGAGCTGTTAGTGTTAAAAACACAGTGGGTATATATCCTAACAAAGCAAAGAGGGGAACAAGGTTATGGTTGTTATCACCAGTCCAATACTGATTTGAATAATTTTATTCTGCATTATAACACTAAATGACTAAGCACCACTGAAATGGTGTTCTGTCAAGACCCAGAATCTAAAAATAACATGTGCCAAGTAATTGAGAACATCTGTTCAAATTGTTGTTTTTGTGTGCCTTAATTGCCTGTTAGGTCCAGAGCACATCTAACCAATCATTTCAAAACTTCACTGTGGACCTTATTTTACTGCAACTGTAACAGTGAGTGAAGCTAATTATCATTTAGCTAGTTAATGAATTGTCTATATGTTGGTGGTACTTGTAAAACATTGTTAGCTAACTTAAGTTGAGTTACGTATGTACTTGAAACATAAACAGCTTCATCTGCTACCAGCAATACAAGGAGGGACTGTTGTTAGCAAATGTTGGCTAGGCTAACATTAGCTTAAAAACTTAGCTTAAAAGCCTAACTTGAGCTAAGCTAAAGTAGCCCAATAATGGTAGCTTAACAATAGCTAAAAAATAAGAGTTAACATCAGGTAAAATATAATGTAACTAGTAGCTAACTACTATTAAGGGATACTAGTATATTATAGATATTTGTAATATTTGTCATACATATATTGTTTTGTTGTGAAAGAACACCAAGTTAGCGAGTCAAACTCGATTTAGATGCCAACATGATATAGTGATAGAGTGATAAGATACTGTAAGTAGTTTTGAGGTAAGTTACCCCTACTACATTTTGGGCTAGTTTAATACTTATACTATTAGTACTTTTGTCCTACATGTATTTGATTATTAGTACTTAAGAATTAGATTTAGCTTAAAATTAGTGTGGTAGGCTATTGCTACTTTTACTGACGTAACATTCATGTAAAAGATGAAAATACTCCATCCACCACTGTTTTATAACTTCACACACCACCATAATGCAAGGATAGGTTAAATATTATAACTTTTCCCCCTATCAGTTGACTCATTAATACTAATGTCTTCAATGATGTGCTACATATAGCACATTTAACCATGCACTAATAACAATTGGAAATGCTCTGCAGCTGTAAACCCCACCCATCTGGTGCACCAAGTAGATTAAAAAAGCCACTATTTGACCCAGATTTGCATGGATCTGCTTCCTAAATAAACATTGTGTGCGTCCCATCAGACAGGAAATAGTATTACCTCACATTAAATAACAGACCACAGAGAGGGTCACAGGCTGTTTCCTCAGGGGGCACTACCTACCTGTGTTATGTGGAAGAAGAGGAGGAGGAGGAGGGGAGGACAAACCGTGGGATGCTGCTGTTGCATTTGAACCTGTGCCAGAGAAATCCCTCCTGTGTCCTTCACCACCTCATTTCACTTTGTGCAAAACAGCATCGCACCTTCTTTTCCTCTCTCTCTCTCCTCACTTTCTGAGTGACACCTGATACAGCTGATATGAGCATTTGTGCACCTGACATCCTTGCATGTGTGAGAGTGGTTTTGTGTGTGTGTGTGTGTGTGTGTGTACATGTGCTTGCAGGTCTGCGTGTTTCACAAGTAGAATTGTCCCATTTGTTCATCCGAATGACCTTAATTTTAGTGTGCATACTGGCTCTGCATCTATGTGTTGACCAGACATTTGGGATACAAAAAAGCTGAGGGAAGAAGAATCCGCTGTCTGTCACTTCAGAGATGCAGAAGTAAAAAGCTGCACATACTTAATGAGATGGGGAGTTTTAATGAGCAATGAAGAAGGGTTTGTTTGTGAAAACAAATGCACTCTGTAAGCGTCAGACTGTTGAAAAAGTACAAGAAAATGTAGTCCTACTTAACAGGGAGAGGACAATGATTTAGAGACAGTGGATGGTAGTAGATTGCACATTGATCAAACACCCTCCTCCCCTTTAAATATAGATTTTTGAGAAAATGTGAAGGAAGGTAATTTACTTGCCAACCACTCCCTTTGGATCACTGTGAGTAAATCAATCAATGGTGGAGAGATATTATCACTTACAGTAAAGTGCAACTATAGGCCGTCACTCCGTCAAGCTCCAGCTGCCAGTTATTTTGACAGCAGTTATTGGTGGTGGTGAGAATTAAGCATTGCCTTTAAAAATAAATGGACAGGTTGATGTTGAAATTAATAGGTACTATAAATTGCAAGTTGTGGATGAGTGAGAATTCTAACAATTTCATATAGAGGAGTCCAGTCACATGTCAATCACCGGAAACAAGGGATGGAAAAAACGTTGTTTTACTTGTTAACATAAAGCAATAATTGTATGTTATTTTAAGGTGACATCATTATCCAGAAAACAGTCTGCAGTTACCTTGGTAAAAAGTTTGTACAATTTGCAGATATTTCACAAATGTATCCACCTTTATATTTGTACAATTAAAATAAATATTTGATAAATAAGATTCAAATATTATACATCTTTTAAAGCTGATGCACTGTACATTGCATGACTGAGTCCTCCAGTAATAAATAAGCCTATTATTTTTTCAGAAAATAATTATCTTTTAAACTGGTGGCTGTTGTGCCCTTATGGCAATCGGTGGCTAGAGATCAGTTACCGCATACCGCTTTTTATGTGCCGTTTCAACACTTTCCTTTGCCTCAAAGTAAATTCTGTATCACTGACAGAGAATTGGCAGGTGAAGGTTCAATCCCCATCCCCTCCTCTTCGAGGCGCAGTAATCTAGCATTTCTCCGAGTAGGAAGTGCAGCTTGCGGTAACAGTGAATTGAAAGTACGCCATAAATATGGCGCCAAAAGAGTTTTCAAGCTGATGATAAGAGCTGATTTTTCTGTGGTGTTGTCTTTTTTCCCTGGGGTGGGGGTAGAGGTTACAAGAGAAGACCCGCCTGTGCATTTGTGCAGAGCGGTGCGCACGTACACCGGGTAGAAGAGTGGAAGCTCGGCAAGGCAGCAAGTGAAGACGAGGAGAGCGGAATGTTTTATTTTTGAAGGAGGGACGTTGCGAAACTGGCTTGCAATCTTTTCTGACTCATCGTTTGGAAATAAAGCATCCTTTTCTTTCTTTCTTTTTTTTCACCCCTCCTCCTCTTTCTTCTCCGTCCCCTCCTCCCGTAGCCTACCGCTGGCACTGGGGAGGAAAACACTGTCGGATTTTGACACCACGTTTGGGCTGCTTTTGCAAAATGCGACATGCCTTCCTGTGAGCTGTATGTTGTGCGCACCTCGCAGCCTGCTAAACCGTGAACAGCGGCGGCACCACTGTATTTGTTGTTGAGTTATAGTGGCTGCAACTCCGTCTGGCTGCCACTTTTGGATTTTATTTCGGATTTAGACTCGCTCGCCGGTCTTTGCAGAGCTGACGCGCTGTCAACACGCACCGTGAGGGAAAGGGAAGGGAGGGGAAGGGACAGTCCTGTCACCCAACGTGGATCCAGAGTCGGGGCTTTTTAGCAGCACTGCTAGCAGCCTGCCAGGGCACCGAGTGGGCAAACTAAACCCTCCTCTGTAAAACTACATGTGCCTGGCTCCCAATGATCTCCTAATCTCTGGGAATCGCTCACCGTCCAGGACTGAGGACGTATCTGCACCAGAAGCTGACTGCGATCAAGGTAAAAAAAAAATACCACTATTTTACGGATGATGAAATGATAAAATGTAAGTGGGAGTGTTGCAGGACCTCTTAAGTCCACTTTGCTGCTGCTGCAAGTGCTATATCAGAGCTAGGCTAGCAGCAGTTCAGTACGCACTTTTGCAGCGGTCTTGTCAGTCACAGTCAGCGGCAGGGGCGCTCACAGTGTCGTTAGTCTGAGCGGTGCATGTGGGTCAAGGAGGGGGTATGTGTTTTATGTGTCGCAGTGGAAGTGGAAAGACAAATAACCCGTTTGAAGCCACAGCATGTGCACGCAGAGAGATTAAATTAACCTGGCAAACTTGGACATGTTGTGCTGCAAAACGTAACGTGAACGCACCCCGGTGGGAATCAAGTGTGCCAGCGGGTAGTTGGAGAGAGTCCAAGTGTGGTTATTTTTGCGCGTAATTGCAACAAATAGGGTTCATTTGCAGCAGCGTGGCAAGGAATGCAGGCGTATGTAAAAGCTGAAAGTCTCACACATGTATAGACACATATTTGGGGGGGGTATGACACGAAGTTGCACGATGGTTATGTTGTGAGGAGAGCAGCAGGTCTTGGTGCAGGATTTACAGTCCCCGGAGTATTTGCAGGTTCCTTCCCTTCCCACCCCACGGGGTGGGGGGTGGGGGGGCACACAGCTTTTAGGAAGGCTGAGCACGCAACCACACACATACACACATCAAGGAATTAGAGCAACTCCTCTCTGCCTCCTTCACCCCTCCTCCTCCATGCCATGCAGATCTAGCTGGCTTTGGAAGAAGGGGGAGTGGCTGTTGTTTACCTCCTCAAAGTCAGAGCTCCATCTGTATCCCTGGGTTGGATGATTGGGTCTGTTGCATCCTTACCTGGGAAAAACAACAACAACAACGAAACAAGGACTTGACATGTGGCTGCAGCTGCTGATGCTGGGAGTCAGGCATGAGCAGGATTAATGGGGTGTAAGTGGGGCATTTGCTCTGGAGTGATTTTCAGTGGTGCGTTGTGGCCACCTACTCTTCATAATTGCCTGGAGAACCTGCAAAGAATATTATGTCTGCCTGTTAGTGCTGATCATTAACAAATTGTGCAATTTATCCAGATTAAGAGGGGGGAAAAAAAAGAATTTTGATGGCACATGTGAAGCTGAACAGGCTCTAGCCTTGAATCAATTAAGCCTGGGTCGCCTGGGGACTTGTTAAATGTTCCCAGTTGTGACAGCAGCACCCCCAACCCTCCTCTTTCTCTTCCCACCATCGTAGCCACACGCAAGCTTGAATTGGGCACACATACTAACAACTGCGTGTGCCTCTTGCTCACTGTAAACACATTCAAGTACAGATGCGTGTACCATGCTCTTCAAACTCGCAAAAAACTCTTGCGCGTATACACACACACAACCCTCCTCCTGTTGGAGATGAGTCATGGTGTGTGGGGGCATAACAACTCTCTCTCTATTCCTCTATCCCCCTCTCTGTCTTTCATATCTTTCCTCATGCAGTGCTATCTTGTTTTCTCTCTCTCTCTCTCTCTCTCACCCCCTCCCCTCCCTCTAGGCTCGCATCTCTCGCCTAGAGACAGTGGTTGTTTACAAGGCGAGTGAACAGGGATGAGAGCTGTTTCCATTTTGCATCCGTTTTTTTTTTTTTTTTTTGACGACAGCCCTCCAGCCAGTCATCCATGTTTCAGTCCCCTCCTTCCTCATCCATAACTTCATCTCATCTCTTTCTCTTTAAACCTCCTTTGCTTCTTTCTGGTCCATCCATTCACCCACTGTACTGTTACTCATCCTTTTATCCACCCATCCATCCATCTATCATCCATCCATTAATCCAGCATCCATCCATCTTTTCCCTCATCTTCTGTCCATCAACATTTTTGTCTCATCATCTGACTTAGGACCACAGCCAGGATGAGTGTGTGTGTGTGTGTGTGTGTGTGTGTGAGACCATTAACTCCCCCTGTACAGTATGTCATGTGAAACTCGAGCATGCAGACCTTTTAAGCCTCACATGTGTACATACGCACACGTGTGTATGTGGGCGGGGGTGTAGCGTAGCATGTGTATTTGTGTCTGCTGCGATAAGCGCTGAGCTCTGATTGGCTGGGAAAGGGGGTAAGGACCCCCACGTGGTGCGTTGTATCGCATTAGCAGCTACGTAGTGACGAGGAGGAGGAGGAGGAGGGGTGTTCATGAATGGAGCGCTGACGTCACATAAACTGTACCCTCAATCCCCCTCACACACACAACATACATGCGCATGCATACCGCCTCCCCCGATGTGCACATACATGTTTTTACACGCATTGCTAAAGACGGCTGCAGGATAAATGTGTGTGTGTGTGATTCAGAAATACGTGTCAGATAAGAAGGATGGAAACCCACTGAGCTGAGGGATTTATGTGTGTGTGTGTGTGTGTGCGTGTGTGTGTGTGTGTGTGTGTGTGTGTGTGTGTGTGTGTGTGGCTGCCTGCAGGCGGGTTGGCTAGCTGTCATGTCACTAGCTCTGCTCTGCTTACTAACTAACTAACCAGCATGTTGGCCACAAGGGTATTACTACTGTGTGTGTGTGTGTTCTTGTTGGTGTTTAGATCCATGTGCTGTGATTTTGTGAGTTGAAAATGGCCTGATTTTGGATTTCCAATATTGATACTGATGAATCAAAATTTGTGATATATAAACATTTAGTCCATAGTCTTTTTTTCTAATTTATTTTTCTTTTCTTCTCTTGGAAGAATGTGAAGACAGAATAAGGAAGAAGTAAACATGAATGTTGTTTTATTAGTCTTGATTATCTTTAATTAAGTACATTACAGTAACTTGTACTGTAACAGAAAATGCATTCTTAAATACAATTAGATATTTAAAGACTCAAACTTTTATTACATTTACATGTATTTTAAGGAAACATAGATGAGACCAACCAAATCTCATAAAAAGTTGATTTTGGCTGATGAACATCTCTGAATGATTTTGGTCTATTCTTAGTGTGTAAAGGTTTGTTTTGATTTGTGTGATTGTTTTGGTTTCCTCATATGCAGGTTTTGTTGTGTCTTACAAGTTTTGCAACATGAAACCAACCATGTGGTGGATTAAACGCTGCAAGCATGTTGCATGTATTAACCTGTGTGTTTTTTTTATTGTAGTGTTAGCTCTCAGTAGATGACCCTGCTGTGGCCTAGAACCTCATTAGTAGGTTCTTGGGTGTGTGTGTGTGTGCGCACGCCTGTGTGTGCGTGCTAACCTGCTGTTTAGTGGGCAGGAGATGACGTCAGGCTTTAATGGGGAGGTTTTTTTTCATTTCTACATTGTTTTTCCTGCCTTGTTAGTAACGGATAATTGCAAAGTCTGCACACCTGCACACATCACTGGCGAGGAAGAAAATGGTGCACATATTTCACAGAAAATATTTTGCAGGAGTAATTGGAATGTGCCTCATAAGTCTACGTCCTGGAAAACCTGTCCCTCGGTGACTGAATAAGAGCAGCGGACGTTATGGTGCAGCAGATGGTTTTTCAGATAAAATTAATGATCCATTTTCTTTGTCATAGTTCACTGTGAAGTCTATGTTGTTACCACAAAGTCGACTGTGAAATCATTAGAGAATATCTCACCAAGATTTCACCTTGTTTCGTTTCCTTTACCCTTATTTCATGTGTTTTCATTTCACCTAAGTAAATGAGAAATTAACCACAGCGGTATAACTCGTTTAAGTTATTCGATAAGCACAAATGCTATACATTTTTTGATTCCAACTTCTCCAATGTGAGGGGCTTTGTGTTTTTCTATATTTTGTATCATTGTAAATGGAATATATTTTGGTTTTGGAGATTTGGTCAGACAGTATAAGCAATCTGAAGATATCAATTGAAGATGTTAGGTTCTGGGAAATTGTTATGGGTGAGTTTATTTTCCACATTTATAGACAAAATAATAAATTGATTTGTCAAAACAAAACCAACAGATTAATCAGTAGTGGAAAAAATGGCTTTATTTGAAGTATGTTTATGTATCTAAGTTTTTTTGCTAAAGAAGTCAACAGCTTCCATAGATTTGAAAATCTCTCATCACTTTCCTCCTTCTTTAAAGCACCCACACAGATGTTTTCACTTAATGAAACTCTGTAGATCCCTTCTTAGTAACATGCTGGTTTATGTTTGATTGACGTCTCCCTGACTGCTTTGGCACACCTTTTTAATGCGTGGGACAGCTTACAGTTTTATTGTGTCTGGTGATCTCGTGTAATTCCCAGCATAGCCCCGCCCAACATCAACCTGAGCAAAAAAATCCATCCATTGGTGGACATTTTTTTTCAAGTATAGCTGAAAAAGAAGCGCTTCAGAATACAAGCAGCGACAGGCTTGTCCGCAGTGAGCTGATCTAAACATGCCACAGCCTGGCTGAGAGTGAGTTTGGGCGTTTAGGAAAGTGTGAAAGCGCACCTCTGTAAAGGATACCGGTGCGCTGGATTTAAGTTAAATTATCCTTTGTTGATTCCTGTTGGGAAGTTTGTTTTCTGCATTTAACCCATTATTAGACAGGTGAATAAAAACACATGGCAAAACAGCACAATAATCGGTTTATCTCGATTATCTTGTTTTTATAATTGTTTGAAGCCCCAGTTGTAACTGGAAAACGAAATTCGATTAATTGCCCAGCCCTACCAGAAACACGTATTCAGATTTGTTATTATGCATTAGATACTTTCTCCTTCTATCGTCCTAAATGTCGGACTATTCTCTTTCTGTCTGCCTGCTCCCACCTCCTCTTCTTGAGGGGGAAAAAACGAAGTCTTAAGGCTGTAAGCACAGTGATGGACAGGCTGACAGATGCTGCCTGAGCTCCTGATGGGAAGAGTTTCAGGAGTTGGTGTGTGTGTGTGTGTGTGTGTGTGTGTGTGTGTTTGTAGGGAGAGGGGGCGAGTAAACAGCAGACAGAAACAGTATGTCAGACTTTCCTTTGGTGTTTTGAACGCCCGGTGAGATGGAAATAAGCTTCTG